ACAACCGCTAACAAGACCCCGGCGTCGTCGAATACCCGCAAGACAAGGCTAGCGAAGGAGGCAGAGGAGCAGGAGAAGTTGAAGACGTCCGTCATGCAGTTCAAGGCGGTGAAGCAGGGAATTTCGGACTGCTTCACTGCCCCGGAGTTCCTGCAAAGCTTGGTAGATGCGCTCACTCCGCATGCGACGGACGGGGCGGCGAAGAGGGCGATCGCGAGCGCCCTCGCGAAGGAGTCGACCGCTTGGACGGATAGCGCCAAGACTAAGGGTGCCGCTGCTGAGCAAGCTATTATCACCAACCTCCTTACTCCGAAGGTCACGGCAGCATGCAAGGTGATGACTAAGAATGACCATGCGTTGGGACTTGAATTTTTGGGTTGTCCCTAACTCTACGGCGATAAACTTGTTGGTCGCGTAGGTACGTCCTAGACGTCGACATCAGGACGACAAAAAATGTGGTGGTGGGTTTTCTACTGCAACCTGGAAGTGGATGATATTTTGACGAAGTAGGTTGTACCGGGCTACGTCAATAACGAACGCTAATCTCTCACTCACGACACCTGTGCGTCGTCATATCTTTCGTTTTTTACCGGATGTGCAGTCGTTAGATACCTCTGTGGAAGCCGCTACCAAGGTACTCCAGGAGAAGCCCGACGTTGCCCCTGCGCGAGGCTCTAGAGGGGTGAGGGAAGAAGAAGTCCCTGGAGTCGTATGCGATTTTGTGAAGCTGTGTGTAGACTGCAAGGCGGTTAAGGAGGAGCAACTGCCAGCCTCATGCTGACGCTGGCAAAGAATACCGTATTTCATCTAATGTACGAAAAAAACACAAGACTTCCTGATGCGCTAAATAGTCGACATTGCTCACGGTGTCACTGCCTGTAGGACACCATACGGAGGCGTCGTGTGTGCTGGCACGTTCGGGTTGTTGTGAGGGCAGAATAACCGAAGGCCAATGCAGTCTCTCGAAAAAATCCAACCCGTAGTCTAAGCCGGAACCAACATTTTGAGCGGCCTCTTGTACTGCCGCCCCGTGCGCGCGAGAATCAACGGGTTCCGTTTTCCCGGTGCCCTCCGTGTGGCTACTGTGTCTCTGGTGCATTTATGTTGTTCTCTTGCGTATTTTTCGAACATCAATCTACACCAAAATGGGTTGGCACGTGCTCACCAAAAATTAACGGCCTTTGGGCCCCTTTAACGGCCTTTGGGGTGATAGGTCGGGTGAAATGTGCTCGCCGGTGTTGAGGTCGTTATTGGGTGGGAGGTAGATACTTGGACCTTTCTTGCCACGCAAGCTTTGCTGACGTGACTCCACGACCGTTCGTCGAATCGCACCTCGCAGCCTTGGGTATCCGAATTGAAGGCAGCTGCCAAGTCAGGTGCGAAGGACGGAGCCAAGGACGGTTCAATATCCGCGAAGGAGGACATAGCCAAGGTGCAGACTGACGTCTCCAAGGTTCACTCGGACGTGAAAAAAATGGGTCAGGTGGTTGTGGCGGGCATGGGTGAAGTGTTGAAAGCTTCGCTCGATGAGTTTGCGAAGGCCCAGGAAGACATGTTGAAGAAGCACGCCGAGGCCCAGGATGCAAAACTCCGGGACTTGACGACGCACGTGACGGAGGGTTTCAGAACAGCGTGTGACTTCATCGTCCAACAGGTCATCGCCCAGGTACAGAGGTGAGTGTTGACGTCCTGGGGGTCAATTGTTAAAGTTTTAGTCTCCAATTCTACACTGTCGAGCGGAGAGCTGAGAGGAGAGCACACCTTCTGACGTACATGCGTGAGTGGGCGTGGGTGTGTAGGTGAAGAGATGGATATTGAAGTGACGCGACGTGGTTGTGTTGCTGGACGGTACATTTCGATAAGACGAGGCAATTACTGTAGATGAAATTTGGCAAGCAACTGGAGGACAGCGTTGGAGATTAGCTCAGGAAACAGAGTTCGATCTGTCTTCCTTTTTTTTTCTTCATGTCTCGATCTTGATTAGTCCGCAACGTTCGGAAAAAAAACAGATCCGATCCGGATCTGTTCGCATCTCAGTATTTTCCTAGACTTGCAATGTCGCCGGATTCGTCAAGGAAAGGGGGTTCAGCTGATAGTTTTAGGGTTGGAGTCAAGCTCGAAAATACCAGAGAAAAAAAAACGTGACGATTGTGTCGACAAACCATTTTTAGTCTCCAACCCCGCCCAGAGAGTGCATGCAGATGGATGGCAAGCAACTGAGGCTGCAACCTTGTAGATCTTAGTCCATCTGTACCCCCCTCCGGTATCCCCCGCAACGTGCTCAGCGGCATCAGGTCTGCCTTGGACGAAGACAGAGCGGGGGAGACCCGGAAGCGAGGCCCGCAGAGGAGCCATAAGATGGGAGAGACGCCGCCTTCCGCCAGCAGGACTCCATCCAGGCGCAGTCCGCGGAACCACGAAAGCTCTCACCGAATGTGCGTAATCTCCTGACAGCAGTTAGTTGACTTTCGCCAACTCTGGATCCGTTCACCGAAAGCTAACGTTTGTGTCGCCTCAGGTTGTGTTTCCCCATGTTCTCACGGAAGCACGTTCCTTCTATGTTTTGCGTTCCGATTTGTTCGTCTTACTCCGCAGTTGCAGCGACAACCAAGAAACATCGGGGTCGCGGGCAGGATTGACATCCCGCAAAATGATATCATGCAGGTTGCGGTGGCTGCAGCCGTCGCCCAATCCCGCATGTCGCAGGGCCAGGCTCCCGGTGCTCAACAGACCCCGAACAGCAACCCCTTTGCCAATGGCAACCCCTTTGCCAATGGCTTTGCTGGGAGCTGCCGGGTTCATGCCCGCTAACGGCATGAACCCGAGCGGGGTTGGCGGCGGCGCGAACTACGTGGCTTCCCAGGGCATGGGTGGATCCGTCGGAGTCTTTCCGCAGGGCTTCGCGGGGCATAGCAGCAACAACCCGTTCAATGGTAACGTGTTCGGTAGAGGTCCCTATGGTAATTGACCTTGGAGTGGTGCTGACAATCTGCCGCGAAGAACTTCGTCTTTGCGGGTCATAGGTCAGAAGCGTGGCGGGACCCCTTGTGGTGTTCGGTAACAACGCGTGGACAGAAAAAGTAGCAAGTAGGGTCGCTCTGGTGGCGGTGTTGGTCGTTGGCGGTTTGAAGGATTACGTTAATGGCGACCACCGGTATAGCACGGCCGTCGAGGAAGCTGGTTACGCGGGAACGGGAAATCTGTGTTCGTGCAGTATTGATGGAATCTCGTGGTTGACTCGTAGCAATCTTTCCGTGGAGTCGAGACATCCTATGAAGTACAGCAGCGACAATCTGAATTTTACACACTACTACGTTGCCACAGGTTCCTGTTCGTTCTGAGGAAACCTACAGAGCAGTAGCCGTGCTTTTATCGCAAGCACTAAATGAAGTCATACCTCGGTGAGTGACATGCCAGAAATACAGAGCAAAACACCGGCCACATGCGACGGCGGTGATCTCTGCGCATCTTCATGCGCTCCACTTTTATCGCAAGCACTAAATGAAGTCACACCTCGGTGAGTGACATGCCAGAAATACAGAGCAAAACACCGGCCACATGCGACGACGGTGATCTCTGCGCATCTTCATGCGCTCCATGAAAGTTGAAGGGTGCCAAACCAAAATACAAAAATACTGCCGTTGCAGACATTGCGTAAGACAGCAGTTGTCTACAACAGCTGAAGCAGCAGCCACAATCTGGATTTTACACACTGCTACCTTGCCACAGGTTCTTGTTCGTTCTGAGGAAAGCTACACAGCAGTAAGTAGCCGTGCTTTTATCGCAAGCACTAAATGAAGTCACACCTCGGTGAGTGACATGCCAGAAATACAGAGCAAAACACCGGCCACATGCGACGGTGATCTCTGCGCATCTTCATGCCCTCCATGAAAGTTGAAGGGTGGAGGACGATTCAGGGTGGAGGACGATTCCCTCTTATCACACCAAACCGAAATACAAAAATACTGCCGTTGCAGACATTGCCTAAAACAGCAGTTGTCTACAACAGCAGCATCTTCGAGGAGGACGGGGCGAAACACGTGTCAACACAGAGGTGGTTGCGCCGGAGTCGTATCAGCAGAGGCTGTATGTGGACCGGTTATACAAAACAGCGGCAAGACCCACCTGCACACCTGCACCTGGAGAGAAACCGGGAGAGCGACGAGCGGAACGCAGGGTCGAGTGGCCCGATGGTCCATTCGTCCATTTCTCGGCCTGTTCGTTCGCACTACGGTCTGTTCAAAATCCAAAATTCAAAACAAGCGACCTCAAAACCTCAAAACAAGTGACCTCACCTTCTCTGGGAGGACACGCGGGCACTCTGCTCTGCGATGGGCATCTTGTCGCTGTCAAAATATGCGAAGAGTGTGGGGTCGCTGAGCGTAAACCTGCAGCACGCGGAACACGATGACCGCATCGTAGTGGACGGCGGCTTTCTCCTTCACCGCTGCTGTACAAGGAGGACAGCGGCACGCGATTTTTTGCTGCACGACGACGTCGCCCCGCTTGTCAAAGAGTGTGCTGCTGAGGTCTCGCGGTTCGAGTCGCGTGGTTTCAAGGTCACCGTAGTCCTCGATGGAAGCACTCCGCCGGCGAAGAAGAGCACTTCCGAAGCTCGCAGAACCAAGCGGGAGGCTGCAGCCAGTGAGGCCCGCGAGCTCCAAAGAACTGGGGGCCGACTTACGGAGATCAACAAGAAGGCCAGCAGTGCGTGCGTGTTCGACGCCCGCGTTGTTGCAAGGGTTGCAACGCTCTTGCGACCCCAGATAGCAGGAGAGGTTTACATCGCTTCAAGGGAGGCCGACCCACAGATAGTGATTTTCCAGGACATCTACCTAGAGACGGGGTGTCCTGTGTATGTTTTCGCGAACGATTCGGACTTGATCGTCCTCGGTGTTCGATCGTTGCTGTGGGACGTCAGAGGGACTGATGTGGGAAATCTCACGGGGGTGTGCATCAGGTCGAGGTTGATATTCCAACCTCCGGAGTGGGCTTTCGCGATGGACGCCGAAGGCTACGATTTTCTCCGGCAACTGCACGGGCTTCCCCGCAGGCACACGCCTAACTTACGCGCTTCTCCTCTTACCGAAGCCGCCGCCCGCCGTAGGCTGAGTTTGTTCGCCACTCTCGCCGGAAACGACTTCGCCGATTTTAAGAACATCGGCCCTGTCAGGGCGGCCAAAGTAGCCTTCGAATTGATCGAACCAGATCCTCGGGGAACAGCCGCCGTTGTGCCTTTTGAGGCGCTTGTGGGCAACTTGGCAAGGATCGTCGTGCAGGACTCCAAGGAGGAGGAAACACCAGCGGCCCTGGAGGAGGCGGAGGAAAAGCTCAGGAGGTCTCAAAACATGTTCCACAATGCGGTAGTGTGGGACCCGTTGAAGAACACCCTCCGACATTTCTCCTGTGCTGCGTCTTCGCTGGCCATCACCAAAGACACAGGTCAGAGTCGTGGGGATCGTGTACGTGTCACCTGCTCCTCTAACTCCAAATATCCCCCACCTACGTGTAGTATCTCGGGGGTAGCATGTTGTTCGGTGTCTGTACCTTCTCGTTCCGCATTAATGGCTAAACGTATCGTCGACGTCGTGTCTATGTGCGTGCATGTGTAGTCTCCAGACAGAGTATTTAGGTCTTTGGTGCACATGCGGTGCAGCCTCTATTGTTCGAATCTGGACTTTGCCCATGTCGTGGCACCGGAACGAACGCAACATTTTTGTCCGACTCTCAAGCGCGCCCGGAATTGCCGTGGGGCACTCTGCGCAATAACAACATACATCCATAGTATTGTAGACGAGCTAGCTTCCGGTGTCTGTGTGTGGAACATGAAACAATACTGCTGTACCACGGTTGCTCCTGCTGTATTACCACAGGTACCCTGGAGTTTTCCTCTGTCGCCTCTGGCATAGCATCGGGGGAAGTTTCTCCTACCACGGGCCAGGTGTGGGCCCCGCCATTACTGGAGACCCGGATAGCACAAGAGTTTCGCCGTGCTACACGACGGGCGGGGAGCCAGATGCCGCCGCCGCCGCCGCCGGGACCGACGCCGACCCCGGACCAGAGTACGGGCCGGAACAAGCGCTCTCGCAAGGCGGTGACTCACGACACCAACAACTACCGTAAGCACGGGTTTAGTCGTCTCCCCGGTGCCGAAGAAGACTTCAACAAGTGGACAGTCGCACAGCTACGCGAATTCCTCAGCGTGAGTCCAGCAGTTGCTTTCATGGTTACGTTTGGTATGCACACGGGATATTTATTTCAAGGGTTGAACAATGGCGTCGCAAACTGCCGCGCGGGAATTTTAAAGTAGTTTATCGCTTGGATTATGCTTAAATATGTTGAGCTTTCGAAGGACACGCATTGATCACAGGAACGAGTGTACGACGTCCCGTTGGTGTCGCGGCACCCCCACTGTTAACCGTTTGTCATGCGTACACGCACAGCGTGTTGCGAAGAAAAAATCCCCTCACGTGGTCCCTGTCCTATACTCGTGGCAGGTTTTTAGGTGCCTCGACCACGCCGGCCACAGCGCGTACCTCAAGGGCCCCCTCGCCGAGCTGGCGGGGCAGGTAGTGGCGATGATCAAGAAGTGCGGGTTGCTCAACAGCAACCAAGCGTTCCGCCATCCTGTCCCGGATCTCAGCTCTTTCCAAGACAAGGAGCGCATGGCCATGCCCGGACTACCCGGCCCCCGTTCGCGGATCAGCGGCTTTGAACATCTACAGCAGCACCTCCCCGAAATGTCCAAGTCGGTGATTCTGCAGTTCCTCCGACAAGTCAACCCCATCTCTGGCGAGGGTTCGCGGGTTGGGATGCAGAAGGTTATGGATATGGGGAACCTGAACAGGTTGTGGGGCGTCCCGGCCAAGAACGGGTTGATGTATCTGGGAATGAGGTGAGTAGCCACTGGATGGTGCGACCGGAACCACGCGAGAGGAACTTACTATTGTTGTTGCTGTCACGTGCTGGTGGCGTCGTATCCTTTCGGCAGGCCTGTAAGCGCTTCTCCCACACCGAACGCAGTCTTACCGCTACCAACTACATTCGACACGCATTTCGCGCCATAGTCTTCAAGATCACACCACAACCGCCCCCACCCCCACCCCCTCCTGCATCCCTCATGCTCTGGTAGCTTCGTTGGTGCTCTTTTGGCACAACCCACTAGTTCACTTCTACGGTAAGACGCCCACATTGTTATGCCATGCTCCTGACAAATGTATACCCACCAGTCCTCTTTAACGGTAAGAAACCCGCTTATTTTTTTTTTCATGCTTGTGACGCAAATACGACCTTGCCTCGACGATTGTACCTCACGCCATCTTCCTTACGTCCACGCTCGCTTCTGGTCAGCGCCGGTGCCTCCTTCTCGGATACGAAAACGTACGAGGTCCGCATACAACTGCGGGTGGAGGCGTTGGACGAGAGCGCTCATCCCTCAGCAGCGGAGGAGGAGGGGCACGGGGTAGAATCTGGGCAATGGCCGAGACAGCCCCTCGTCGCCCTTGGTGTGGTCGCCGCTCTGTGCGAGTGTCCTGCCGGCATAAGCGGGGGATGCTCCCACACTGCAATGGTCCTCTTCTTGACTCGTCTGCTGCAGATGACCGAGGACGAACTAGCTACGTTCAACCCATCTACATGTACCGGTCGAGCTTGCAGTTGGATCATGCAGAACTGTAAGGGGGGCAGGTTGGGAGAGCAGTGTTCGTTGTATGGAGAACCTCTATCGCACGGCACGAATGTGGTCAGGAAAATGCGGGATCCTCGGCGAGGCTTTGACGACGACGTTACGGCGAAAGTACAGGGAGTAACCGCGATCGATCGAATGCAAGACTTCAACCCGCACCCCTCTGGAGGAAAGTGGGATGAACTGAAGCTCCACTTCGATGCTGGCAAGGATTTCAGTAGGTTCAAAATGGACAAGCTGCTGGCGTTCGTGGATTGTGCCAGGGGCCCGGATAACAGAGCAGTCGCCATGAATTACCTTCCGCCGCTCGTGCGTGAAGATTGCGACCTGTAGCTTTGTGGTTCCTTTTCCCTTCAGAGTGTTTTCCGTGCAGAGTGTTTTGTGAGCGGCACTCCAATGTGGCCTCTCTTTGGTGACTTCTACGTAAACGTCTCTACAGGCTCGACCCTCAGAGGTTAGTGCAACATTATTTTGTGGTAGGTTCGTTTTATTGGGTGTCATGGGGGGGGGTCTACGCACGGGTGCCACGTGGGACGTCTACGCACGGTAGGGTTGAAAGTACCTTTTCGCTTTGGGCGCGGCGTCATCCGTCCGTCGCGACCATACACCCCATTAATTTGTTGCAAGATGAAGCGGGGGACAAAGAGCTACCAGCTCTCGCAAAATACATGGGTTTTCTTTGGCGAGTGCATGCTTTGCCTGCCGCCTTCGCTACAATAGACTCTTTTTATAGCTCGCTGCACGAGCTGCGTGTATTCGCCCCTGAACACGGCCCTCGTGCCCATTTTACCGTTCATCATGTGTCGGCAGAAGATTCGTGCGATATGATGGAGGGTTAATAGTGATATTTTCCTGTTTTTCCCTGACACACTTGCCTTCCGTCTACGGAATCCCAACTAAAAACAGAGAATTAGAAACAGCTAAAGTAGGTATCATGCCAAACCCGAAGCAGTCACTGCTGCCGACCTGCGCTGAACTCAAATCTGGTAGGATGGGATTTAAGGCCATTGTTTCAGAACGTGATTACACAGCGAGGTTGTTGCAATGGTTCCATTAGCTCGGATGCTCTCTTGCAAAATATACACCGTTTAGGAGGTGCTCCCCGCAAGCGAACACTGACAATCCCGCACTAAGCCTGAGGTACCCCTATATCTAGCAAGTACATCACCGTGTATGCTCACTCGCCCAGCACATCCACCCGCCGAATATCTCCGTCTACTCTTGGATGTACTTCTACTACATGTACTACATAGAATTTTCCTCAAACCGCAAATGGCACAACACCAACAGAACACCACACAACATGCGCTTCAACAGGAACTCTAGCATAACACCACACAACACGCGCAACAAGGATGGGAGAGCCAACGCGACGGGGCAGCACATCCGCGCGCATACAGCGACACACGCACACACACCGTACACCCCGGTATCCCTAGCTCCGAAACGGCTGTTGCATCAAGTTTACCAAAGCAGCCACTACATGAAAGCACATCTCCAGGTGATCGAGTTGCTTGTGATGGGACTTCGAGTCAACGATACTCCACTTCTTCACTGCTCCAATTGCTCGTTCTACGTGAATGCGCAAGTTGGCTACCTCCCAATTTTGCTGCATGTCGGCTTTGGTGAACTGAGTCTCGCCGCTAACCTTGAAGGGTGGCGCGCAATAGTGAATACCTTCCCTTATCAGCAAAGGCGAGATGGAGTTGAAACCCTTGTCGGCCATCACTTTGAAACCCATGTTAGCTAGACCGTTTTCCCTCATAGCGTCGACGAGACCAGACTTGCGGACAACCTCAACGTCACTCATCCACCCGGGGTACGCGGGTCCGATGTAGCAAATGGCACCCCCGGGGGTTATCGCTACAAAAATTTTAGCCGTGTGCCTGCCCTTGTACGTGGAAAAAGACACAAAATTCATGTTTGTTTGCCACGACTTGGGAATCTCTATCTCCGTGGCATCCAACACCAACGCGCAATTCTCGTAACCTAAGTCGTCGAAGTTCTTGGGGAGAAGGTCGACGACCTCTTTTGCCGAAGGGAACCGTATGACAGGACGGAGGCTGCGATAGAGGAAATTCAGCCACGTCGTGAAAGCCCCCCCCCCGGTACTCTCGTGCACACCGAATAGAGTCCACGCCACAACCAGCGGCATCGCCGTGCGCAACACCATCAACGTAAAAAATAGTCCGTTGACACCACGAAAAGTCTTGACTCGCTGGCTGTTTCCACCCGCTGAAACGCCTGCCCGTTCTCGCTGATCGAAAAACACCATGTTCTCCGCAGCGCCGTCGGCGTTCGCGAACTCGTACAGCTTCTGCAGGGTAGGTGCGGGGAGATGGGAGAAAGGGAGAAAATAGCCACGGGTTATGCCGGTGAAGATTTTGTGGGCGGCTACGCGGTCACAGCGGCGGAGCAATGCCGCTATTCGGCCGAAAGCGAAATGTTTGAGCAGAGGCGTCCACGGCTTGAGCGGAGGCGATAAAACTAAAAGCAATGGCCGGCGGGAATGCAATCATACGTTGGTAATAATTTAGCGGTAGCCGGTCCTATTTTTCTTTAAGCGCTAACACGACTTTTCGCGGCAAAAACAGTAACGGCGGTACACCCGGTGAACGCCGGTGTTTGTGTAGGAAAATTGGCGCCAGGTTACTTACCGACACCACTTGAAAAACTGAACAAAACAATGCTTCGATTCGATCTGATAATCACCACTTGCCCTAGCCAGAAAACACACGAGGTTAACCGAAAATGCATGCCATTCTCGTTGGCGACAACCATCAACTTGGACTCGTGTTGCATTTCTTAGTACTGCTGTCGTAGCCGATAGACGGGATGATGACAAACACCTACCAGCCTATTGCTGTAGACCTGGACAGCAGCAAAACCAGGACAGCACTCCTCTTGTCTCGGGCAAAGCATTACACAAACACGGGCGCCCACCACTACCGTATCTTCAGCACTGCTGTAAGACGCGCAGCAAATAATCCTGGTAGCCTAGTGGGGTTGTCTGCTGTAGTTTCGAGCGACATATCTTGAACGCACGAGCTCAGCTGCCACAACAGCAGTTAGTTGTAGACAACGTACGAACTAAATACCAGTTTTTAGACTATGCAATGACGTGAAAAATGGGGCATGCGTTGTATCGGGGCTGCAGGCGAGGCGGGGGTGTCAATAAGAAACCCCACAGACATTTTCCCGCAAACTGTAAAAAACTAGCGTACAGCAGTCCTTACTTACCAGGAGAGCCTCGTGGGTGGGCACCCCCGCCAGGCAACGAACTTCTGTTGCCGTCTTTCCACGGAGGATGTTGTGGTCGACCCCAACGTCCGCCGGCTGTGATGACCTGCCGTGTGCTTCATGTTTATCCACCGCCTCCTTTAGCTCCGACTCTAGCAGGGAGATCCTTAGCCCCAAATCTCTACTTTTCTCCTTGAGTCGTGCTTCCTTCTGAGCCCCAGCTAGCAGCGCTCTCCGATGTCGGTCGTTCAAAGCTTCGAGCTTGAGACTCCTTGCCAGGGCACCACGAGAAGCTTTGAGCATCTCCTCGCTCGTTTGGCTTGGCAGTGCTCCCTCCTTCACGCTAACCCCTACCGCTTCGCCGGTTAGGGATTTGCTCTTCACATCGGCTGCTAGGCTACCAGGAGGGAAGCGAGCGGCCGAAATCCTAGGGTCGCTCTTGGGGACTGGAAGGTCGTCTCGACCAAAAAGCGCGTTGCACCAGCTCTTGAACTTGCCCGCGTCTTTGGGCATCCGTATCGTCGCGTCTCCACCATCCTCCTCACAAAATTTTGTTTGGCAGATGCATCTGTGTTTCCCCATTGTAAGCGCTGAGGATCCCTACGGCTGCTGGGCGGAGTGTGTGTTGTGTGCTCACGTGTCACCAGGCGACAACCGACAAGAGAGAGCGGGCCTGCAGGTTGCTGGTACACCGCTTGTATCTGTCTGAAATTCTGCGCGGAGTCCCCAAATCTCGCCGCAAAAGGAGCTGCCTAAAACGAAGCAGACGCCGAGCTGTTCTTCGTGATGGGAATGTCTAGAGCATGCCAAGGGGCGTAGGAGTGTTCTGCTGTCCTATCCTGGCGTTATCGTTGCTCTGTAAGTGGTGTCACGGCCTCCGCAGCTGCCAAGCCAGCGGCTTCAAGTTTTGAAAAGCCCTCCCCAATTCGTCTTGGTTTTAGAGTGCCCAAAAAAGCGCATGCCCCCCCCCCCCCACAGGCGATTTGTAAAAAATGCGGGGCTATTGCAAGAAGCCTATGGCGAAACAGACAAGGTACAGTGAAGGTCGACTCTTGCCGGCCACAGGAGGCGGAAGCTGCTCACGCTCGGGGACGGATCATGATTTTTTGCGGTTCTCCACCGAACGGATATCGAACGATGAGACTTCAGAAAAGCTTCAGAATTGCGAAACGTGCGCCCAGTTGTTGTATAGACATGGCAAGTTAAACACCAAAAATTAGAACTGAAATGATGGGTGGTGGGTGGGTGACCGGCGGACCCCAGAAAGCAAAGCATGAAAAACGCGAACCACATTGAAAATACGTTTGAAAACTGAGGGAGATTGCATGCCCTACGACTAAAAGGGTGCCACACACAAAACGCCCGACCAGTACCTAACACATTTCGTCTGCACCTTCCCAACATAACATATATGAGACACACAAGACAGCTACCAAACTGTCTTGTTGAGCCTGTTACCCGCAGGGGAGATGTCCCTATATGCTGTCTGGGAAACCGTAGACACAGGTACTTTCTGACGCTATGAATTCATTGCTAATCTGTCCCAGACTCTTTTCTATGATAGAGATGGATTCGTTGTGTCATATTAACCCTTACGTGACTACACCCCCGAATCGGGCATGTTAGCAGGCACGATAACTCTTATATGCGACAACTTTCGAACCGAATTGAGCTGTGGATACCTGCGTCGACGACGGCTCGACGGTACGACTAGACCGCTCGAAAAGAAACAAAGTAACGACCGGGGAC